TGGTGGTGGTTGCGCTTTTGTCTGCGGCACCGCGCGTTGCGCTCTGGCTGCGGGCCTCTGCTTCCCATGGGGTGGTGTGTTTCCCTTCTTTTTCTTTTTTTTTATTGGCAATGTTGTGGGGGAAGAAGAAGGGGTGCACCGGCATTGTGAGGAAAAATAAAATAATAGTAATAAGGATAAATAAAGAGGTAATATATGTGTGTGAGAGAGTAATTGTGTATTGATTCTGTTTGTAAAGATTGACACGGTTCAAGTAGAAAAACAAATTAAAAACAAATGATAATTGACAGCGTTGCGTGAAATCTCAATATACAAAGTTCAATATAAAAAAAGCAAAAAAGAATTTCACCTGGATTTTATACACATATACAGGCTACGTGGTTGGGTTTGTTTACATGTAATTCAAAACAATTCAATTTTCTTATACATCACATCTCTCATCACCTAACTTGATATTTGGAAGGAAAGGTTATTTTTCGAAATCTCTTTCAGTTAACACCAATGCTACCCATGAGGGGTGTTAATGGTGGAAAAGAGGGATTTGCCACCAGTGTAGAATACAAAAATTAATTTAAAAAATCATGAGAGTCTGGTTATCGGACATATATTTCTTTCCTTTTTCTTTCTCTGCGAATAACAACAACATCAATGGGAAAAGTTACCCGAGTGAAGTATAAAATAAAAGTTATTTTTTCAGAAGTATAGAGTACCAAAAATAATACCCAAAAGGTACCAAGACGAAGAAAAGAGCTGCTCCTGTTTTTGGTGGTGGTGCAAAGTGATCAAAGCATTTTATTGTTTGTTTTCTTCTCTTTGGGAAACCGTTTATGCTTATTATGCGTACATACCAGTTGAGATATCTCTCTTACATGCCTTTTTTCGGAAGGTGTGCCACATCAAAGTGTGCACTACTCGGGTCCGCACAGGGATCTCGCAACTCTTTAAAATTCTTTTGCCGCCTCTCTTCCTCCAGTCGCAGTTGTTCTCCCAGTCTCTGTTGCTGTCGCGATGTGCTTTTCATGTTACTTACCATGATGTCCAACATGCGGTGAATATCGGCTGCTCCTTCTCTTTTTATCGTCTCGCGTTTTTTGTACCATCTCTCTGTCCACTTTTTCCACAAGAGAGTAACATAGGAAGCCATAGCAGATCCCTTACAGAGTTGACTATTCAA